TCTTATACACATCTAGATGTGTATAAGAGCTCAGTCTAGACGATCGGCCCTCAACGAGCCTCGATCGCAATGAACTACTGCACATACGGTACCCAAACTTCTTTCTTTTTTTTTTCTTCTTCTTTTTTTTTTTTTTTTTTTGGGTACCCAAACTTGGCCATGAAACGGTATCAATGAATTGCTTGTTTTGTAAAAGAAAACGAAAACTTAAACTAATTAAAGTTTTTTGGAGCAAAAAAAAAAAAAAAAAATGCCGTTTAGCTTAGACAATCGGGTTGATCCCTGAATGATCGCCAAGTAATCGTTATACATGCAGTGCCGACGCGGGCTGACCGACGAGACATATCCCTCGTAGAAATAGCCAATGAACGATGTCCATTGCTGTACGTCCCAACCTTACGTCCGTTGGGGCAGGAAACACAAATCAAGGACCTGACCGCGGAGCCGTCCAGGTGCATTCCATCATCGGCAAAGTGTCTTCTGGGACTGAGGAACTTCCCTTGAACGGACGGATCATATCGCCCCTCCTCAGAGATCGGAGGGAAGAGAACTTTGGCACGCACGTCCGTACCGGGATGGCTTCTCGACCAGATGCATTATCTGCACCGATGCTCAGAGATCGGAGAGAAGAGAACTTTGGCACCGAAGTCCCATACCGGTATGCTTCCTCGACCAGATGCATTATCTGCACCGAGACGCGGACGCATCCAGGCACATTATCACAAGGTCGTTCCCAGAATTTGCAAAATGGAGGGAACCTGCAGTATTCCGCGCCCATTTTCACCCCTGTCAAAATGAATCAGCGCAATATCGCGGACAGGTGCATGCTCTGCACCTAACCCATGCCGGCGTCTTCATACGGTGTAGCACAGGCGAAATTGAAAGGAAGGACGACATATTACAAAATTGGAACTTAACCATTTACCCCCCAAGTTGCTGTCCTATCACTTGCGTGGCAATCCATCTCGAATTTTTTTTTTTTTAAGGTTTAATAAACCACCCCACGTCGATGACACACGATAATCACATTAAAAAAAAAAAAAAAAAAA